GGAGCCCAACAGAAATTGTAACTCCTTGCGGTTACAGGAACCAATTTGGATGTATTGGTTGATGATTTGTAGGATACTACCAATTTTGTCCAGCGGGAGACTGGCTTCTATGACCAGTGGTGAATACCCAAGAAACTGACAATGGTGTCAGGCCCTTTGTTTTTTGGGGGCAAGACCTGTACACCAAAGAAATGAAATACTTAATGGCTTTATTTAAATTGCCTGGGGGGGAGAAATGGTTCTCCATGAACAGAAAATCGACCAGATAGTGGATTACTGTATGGCAATGGCACATATTTAATAGCCAACACAAGGTCTCAGCGAAAGTGTTAAAAATGTTGGGCCTGCTTTTCGAACCGAAGGTGAGTCTTGTGAAAAAAATAGTTTAGACCTTTCCATTTAATACCATGCAGATGCCAGAGATGGTTGAATGGGTAACAATTTAAAAGCATTAACATTGTCGGTCTTACTGAGCCAGGCCCCAATCCCTGCTGCAATGATTGCGTCTATCGCCTTGTCTATTGTCGAATACTGAAGTGAAAATTCCTCCAAGGGGATTTAGTGAGGTGCGGAGAGGTCTATCTTTGTTTTTGCTGAGGTTTTCCCGGTGACCAAACCAGTAGGGTTAGTCCTCCAGTTCGAGAATGGATGTTCCATAAAAGGTCCTCATAAAAACCCTTCACCCAGTTCTTGTTGCAACAAAGTATCAACAGCATCAGCCATAGCTGATTGGAGGTTGTTGCATTCCACAATACCTGCTGGCATATGAATAATACCAGTATGAAAACCTTGCATGAAATCCGTAATTAACCCGTAATTAAGAAATTGACCAAGTGTTAGGATGGGTGAGTAGCTAAAGAGCTAGCCAGGTCAGATAAGCTTTGGAATTAATTTTATTGGGGCACATGGACTTCGCATGTGCCCTAAAGCAGTGAGAACATACATGCAACAAGCATCAGGCACTATATCCGCAGGTACCTTAATTGAAATTGTTACAAACCTGCAGTACAATTGATCGAACAAGCTTATCCTTAACCAGTTTGTCAAACTTAACTTTGGTACCAGGGAAAGCCATTGTAGAAGTGATTGTGACAGAACCATCTGTCTGCTTATTTTAGTTGTATTCGTCTGTTTGTATCCTGTTCGTATGAATGGCTGTTTTCTATAGCCCAGCCATTCGAATGACTCTTTTTCCTGAACAAACCTGCCGAACGGACGGCCACCCAGGAGAGAAGTGTGCTGCTGGTTAACCTATTGATCCCAATTAGAACGTTGTGGTTAACCGCAGAAACTTCTCAATTAAACCGAATTCAGGGTGGTCGTCGTTCGTATGTCGACCACGAGGCAGCGGCCATTTTAAACCACGCGAAAGCCCAGCGGTGTTTGGCTCTATTTCTATGGAACAAAAAACGGACACTTTTTCTGCCGAACACCGCTGAAACAATGGAACGCCTGGCTGTCTCCACGAAAGCATACGAATACCGGCCGTTCGGGAGGTTTGGAGCATACGAAAAGACTTAACCCAGATAGCCTTCCCATGGAGTCATTCGTATACCGAAAGACTGTAAGAACTTTGACTCCATGGCGATTGAACTATGTGTGTGTGGGATCTGAGCGCTATTCGCTAATAATATGCACTCAGATCCAGGCTATCTGGGGATATGTGATACGAATGGGAAATGTTCGGTTATTTGAAAGTTATACATTTTTATGTCTTTTATGATTTTATATTTAAAATGGCGACTGGCTTTGTCCTGGAGATAATTGAGTTACTTGGTAATTATCTCCAGGGCAGAGGGGAGGGAATCATAATGCACTGTGGGTAAAATCTGTGACTGTGTGTCTGGAATGTCCCCATATCTGTCTGTCATTTATGTTTCCCATTTGGTCCCCTAGGGGAGTGTCCACCAAGTGGGAGACCTGCATAAATACGGGCAGGTAGCCCACAGTAAAGCCAGATCCTGTTTGACCCTCAATGCGGAGCTTCTGTCTCGTTATTGGGGGGATTTCTTCTTCACGTTTAGAGACTGCTGGATGGAAGCGAAAGCCGCTTGGTGGATATTGTTGTTTGGCGGCTAGCAGCAGTTCGTGTATTGCCATTCGGGAGTTTCGAGCCGTTCACGGATCCCGGTCGGGAGATTGCCGCTTCCCCTGCATTTGGTTCGTGTACTACAGGTTAGGCGAATGGAGTTACTGTTACTGCAGACGGGGAAGGTCTACTAAACGGCGGTTTTGCCTAAAGACACTGGAGGTGTCTTAACAGTGATATCGGGTGAGATTGGACAATAGTGCGTGGCATGTGTAGTGGATGCACGGATTGCACAAGCTGGTGCCTGCAAACAAGTTCAGTTTCCAGTTGGACACAATCTGTTTTAATATTGAACAGGGCAAGTATTGCAGACGCATTCGCTGAAAAGGACCGGTGGTAATCATAGAATGACCTACCACCATATTTATTTCCCAAGTCCACCAGCTTGTGCAAAAAGAGATCCAACACCTCTCTCCTGTGAGGGTGAACGGAGCATATGACATCTTTATAAATCCCAAAGGCAATGACAAAATCCAAAATAGACAATCTTTTACTAAGTCTTGGATCTCTAGATTTCAATACAACAGGTATTTCGCCGCATGCGTATGTGCGATTCTCCACGATATCCTGAGAGGCAATCAGGGGAGAGACGATTAACATCTTTGCCTTCCAGGATAACTTTTTTGAGATTTGCAGGTACCATATGGGAAGGGTTAATGACATGGGTTCCCGACCCTAAAGGGTACACTATTACCAGATTGTAACTGGGATGAACCTAGAAGTTCAACAGCGAGGGACCTAGTTGATGAAATAGGAAGATAACATGCCTCTATTCTATCCAGCCTATCATAAATTTTTCCCATAGAGGCAACGAGTCAGGATATCATGGCGTGGAGTTGCAGGAGCCACTCATTCCTTCACCTGCCTCTGCGTTGTCTGTATTGGTCTGCATAAGCCTAAACAGTTCCGCTTTCCTGGCCGTTGCTGGGAAAGTGATGATGCGTCTATGAAGTAACGCTGTAGTGCGGGGATTAGTCCATTGCCTAATAGATGCAGGGTTACCGGTATCACCTTTACAAGTAGGTGTAATGGAGAGGAGTACTGGGGATTAACAAGTCATCAGCTTCGTCAGGGATCTAAAACATACTGAAAAATATAGCAAGCATAATTTAGAACAAAGGGGTCGTTTTACTGGCTGGATAACTAGTGCCAAGTGGTGAAACGATTCTACTAAGGTAGTGACAGGTGAGGCCCTGCTAATTGCCAAGCGGCTAGAGAGACTTTACCTATGAGTTGGCACAAGGGGTTTCTTGGCCACTGTACGTTGTGGCGGGGTTTTGGACTCTCTGTGACAATTAAAGCAAAAGATAGGTTGGGAGTGACAAGTGAAGCCCTCTCTATTTAACTGTGCAAGGTGGCTAGCTATGAGTTGGCTGAGGGGCGAAAATACCTCAAGCGTGGCGGATGGGTGTTGGCCTTTCGGGACCATTGTAGCAAAGGCAGAGATGCCAGAAACATTACCTCTACTGGCCATCTAGACCCTATAAGCCAGTAAAACCTACTAAAAAGGTGGGACACTGTGGAGCCAACTTGACAAAACATACCTGAATTCAACCCTCGTGCGTGTTATGTCTGAAAATATAGTTGTATCCTATTGAAAATGAATGGGACAAGTTGTAGAGAGGATACAGGAATGAAAGGGGGCCATGGCCTCCAACTGTACATATAAAAGGAAATCACTAAAGTATGATTTTTTTTTTTTTTTTTATATACTCACCTGACACAGAAATCTGTGAATCCCACTAAAGAAGGTAGAGACGGGAAGGAGTGTCCTATAGCTAGTAACATCAAAAGACGTGTACATGAATCAACATGCATATAAGGTAAGGAAAACCTAAATATAGTAACCACATAATGAACAAGCCACCTACCTACCTACTGGAAATAGGATTTAGAGGTCTGAAGAGCAAATGCAGCTCTAAATTGATAAACTCGAACTCTGTATTGAAAATGCATGCATAACATCTAAACAGTGTAACCTAAAGCTTTTCATCAAACGTATAACCTATCCAAATATGCTACTTTGCAGCATCATAAAAACCTGATCAATAGAAACCTATGCAATAAACCAACTTTAAAATAGTGTAGATCTATAGTCCTTAAACAACAAATATATGTGTAATAGATACCTGTACATATAAAACAGATTGTTAAGCCTCTATCTACAGCAAATACCAGGATTTAAACCCTAGAGGGCCACAAACAAATCAATCTAAGCTGTGTGTGTGAACCAGAAAAAAAATAGTAATGTAAGGAGAGCTATGCGACCAGTGTTCATGAGAATAAGGATGTGAAAGGTAATAGTACTATTAGTATTGATTTGGATTATGACCCTTAGTGGAGGTTCGATTTTATTAACAAGCAAAATCCCTGCTGAACCCCCCATACTATGCAAAATGAGAATAAAGACACAAGCACTCTATACGGCCATAGAGCCGTTCGTGCCCGCCTAAACACCTAAAATAATCCGCGTGACTAAGTGAAATAATCCATTGGTATAAAAGAGAGCCGAATGGGGAGGCTTGCTGTGAATGATAGATACCACTAAAGCAGCTCATTGAGTAGCATTATACGAAAGCATAAGGGGGGGAAGAGGGGGAAAAAAACAAGCCAAACCGTAATGACGCCAACTGAAGGTGCCAGCGCGACTATCAGCCAACAGGAGCTTCCAGGTCATCACGCCATACGGGAGGCTGTCGGGGGTGAAGGGGAATCCAGACAGCAGGAGACAGAATGATTCCCGAACAGGAGCAGCGAGATGGTGGTCTGTATGCACCGGAAGTAGCAGCATGCAGATCGCCAGACCAATTACGGTAGGGTAGGCAAGGGGGGAGTCCCTCATATAGGTCCCATAAGCCTCTCCCACAACTCCAGGCAAAGTCTTAACATATATACAAACACACACGCCCACTGTGCGCACCTGTGTGTGTGTGTGTGTGTATGTATATATATATATATATATATATATATATATATATATATATATATATATATACACACACACACACACACACACGTGTGGATGAAAACCCCTTCCACCTGAAGTGGATAGTTAATACATTGCTAAACACAAAAACACACAAGTCAAGTCATAAGACTTGCTTTTCCCACAGAAATCTCACTTTAACAGTGCTCTTACTACTGCAAGGGATTCTGGGTAGGCGTATGCAAATGAGCTCAACAAAGAACCACATTTTTGCCTCATAATTACACTTTTTACATGGCTTGACTGGTGTGTCTATTTGTGTTAAGCAATGTATTAACTATCCACTTACTTCAGGTGGAAGGGGTTTTCATCCACACCTTTTTCCCCACCACAACTCTTTTGGTGTTCTTTAAAGTAACACCAAGCCTCCATAGCAAGCCAGTAATCAACCTCATGCTCATGAGTTGCATTAGCAACGAAACAGCTGTCCATAAGTGGTTCACTGGCTTTGCACCTCTTCCTGAGTTGTGTTTCAAAGCTGTTGTACATAGACACATACTCCAAGGAATCCATCTATAAAGCGGAATTATGATGCAAAAATGTGCTTCTTTGTTGAGCTAATTTACATACGCCTACCCAGAATCCCTTGTAGTAGTGAGAACACTGTGGGAAAAGCAAGTCTTGTAACTCTTAGATGGGAATTCATGCATTCTTAAAATAAGTAATTCTTTTGTTCTTACTCTCCCTTTGTAGCCCCATCCTCTGCACTGTTTGCATTTTTTTTCTCTATCTTTCCCACCTCACTCTATGATCTTCACACAAGATATTTACAACCCTCTGTGAAAATGATTTCTATTAAACCTGTGTCTTATCTGCACTCATGTTGCTTTAACCCCGGTATCACAACTCAACTTTGAATTCTATGTGTCGTCTTGCTCAGAAATGCTTTAGACTTGAGAAAGGGAAGTCCTCCTGAAAGCTCGTCATTAAAAAAATTCTGTTAGTCCAATAAAAAAAGGTATTACAAGATACAAATTGTATCAGATTTTTTTGTATATATATATATATATATATATATATATATATATATATATATACATATACATATACATACACCTCTCATAGCTTACCAATAGCCAACCAACTTTTCCAATCCTTATCTGACCTATTAGATCTACAACCATTTAATTCTACTACCAACTCTGTTATTAACGGCCAGGTACATAGCCTTCTACGGCTTTCTCAGGCCAAGAGAGTTTACTACCATCACCACCACTCAGACAGATCATTGTCTTCAACGATCCCACCTACGTAAACACATGGATCACTACATATTGGCTCTACCACATTCCTAACTAGACAACACGCACCACCAGTAGAGATAACATACTGTCCTAACCACAAAATGGTGCCAGTTGCGGTCTTAGATTCACATCTTCAAAACCCTAAAATCCCAACCATCACAACCGTAATTTGTATTGCAGGGCTTACTACCGCTACATTCATGAGATATGTCAGATCTCTGTTAACCTAGCTGGGCCGCAGCCCTTCTATCTACTGGGGTCATTCCTTCCATCTAGGGGTGGCCTCCACAGCCTCCATTGCCAACATACAAATCTTCTGCTCATACACGGTACATACCCAAGCCATTACAAGAAATACGATATGCATTTAAGGAAATGTCTGGTTAATTTGTATGAATTTGTTGACTGATTTAAATCTTTGATTATTCACTTTTGCCCTCTTTAATTACAGACCTACCGTATCGTCGGTCCCGGCACACCACAACCGACTTCCTCTCTTATACTATCCTACGCCTATACTGGAACCTTACTCCATATACGGCTATGTGCCCCTAACACAAGTATTAAGGCCGTTTGGCCTGTAATTGTGGGAGGAGCTTATTATTATACACTTACCTATTTAAGTAACACACCTTACCTGGCTCCATACTGTTTGAAGTCAGTGTTTGAATGACCCACCCACCACTCCACATTCTCAACACTTTTTCTCCTTTTCTTTTCTTCCACCTTGGTGGGCCCTCTTTATTTACAGGCCTACTGTATCGTCGGTTCTGGCACACCACAACCGACTTGCTTTCTTATAATATCCTACGCTTATACTGGAACCTTTCTATGGATTAAAAACGGTTAGTATTTTCAAAAAGACCGAAGAGTGCATCTTTTTTCAATATAATTATTTATTAGCGTGAGATTGCACCAGGGCACTTCTACTATTTATTATATTAGTAAGGGTGAGTGCCATTATTTGTGATATATATATATATATATATATATATATATATATATATATATATATATATATATATATATATATATATATATATATATATATAAACAAAAATAGTAATGCACTCCACCTTCCTTGATGTACTTGCCCGGTGCTTATCAGCAAACAGATACAGCCAAAAGTACAAGATAGCACTCCAGGGACTTCCAAGTTGAATGAATAAAACTTAGCTTTTATTAGCTCAAAATAAAAATCAACGTTTCAGTCTGTATCACAGACTTTCATCAGGATACAGACTGAAACGTTGATTTTTATTTTGTTTGCTGATAAGCACCGGGCAAGTACATCAAGGAAGGTGGAGTGCATTACTATTTTTGTTATATATATATATATATATATATATATATATATATATATATATATATATATATATATATATATATATATATATATATATATATATATATCTACAATAAAGAGTATTGTATGAAATGGGGTGCAGGGGACAAATATCTAAAGACAAATTAAAACATTCTTGGATTTCCCTCCAGAGCAATACGTTGGTAATAATAACTGTGTTCTGTTTTTTCCCCCTCTTTTGTGCTGCTGCTTGATTGATAGGGAGAATTTTCATTAATTGCACCTGTGTGGGGTTGTAAAGACACACCCCTAACTCACTGAGCTTGCTCACATTGCTTGAAAGCAGACTCTATTAAGTAGACTCAAGTAGGAGTTAGAAAACCAGATGTTAAAAAAACAAGGGGTTTAAGCTAACAAGGTAATTGTTTTAGAAACATAGAATGTGACGGCAGATAAGAACCATTCGGCCCATCTAGTCCGCCCAATTTTCTAAATACTTTCATTACTCCCTAGTCTTATCTTATAGTTAGGATAGCCTTATGCCTATCCCACTATATTTTATTGTTCTGTATCTGGGGAAATGATTGGTGGTTTGACTCAATGCACATCTTGTTGCATGTATGGATGCCTGGATGTACCCATCCAGGGTCCATACCTCTGACTGTTGTGTGCGAGTGGCTTTTCTGAAAGCTCGGATTGGAGATCTCGAGAAGCAAATCGCAACATTGAGGGAGATCGACAATCTTGAGATGAGTCTGCAGCTCACTGAACAGAGTTTAGTGGGGACAGGTAGTGGAGAGGGAGGAGATAAGACAGATGGGGAACAGTCACGTAGCTGGGTGACAGCAGGGTAAGGAAGCGGGGGGAGGGAAGAGGAAAGGGCTAGCTAGTCCTGATTTAGTGCAACCTAGCAGATTTGCCCGTTTGAGTGAAGATGTTGGGAGCATCAGCTCAGGAGTAGCTGTATTAGAGGAAGCTGTTACTTCTAACAGTCGAGCTAACAGCCCCTCTAGTACGGGTGGGGATCAAAATGTAAGGAAGGCAAGACAGGTTGTGGTGGTAGGGGACTCTATCATTAGGAGAGTAGATAGGGCAATCTGCCGCTCTGATCGGCTCAACCGGACAGTTTGCTGTCTCCCGGGTGCTCGGGTCCGGCATGTTGCTGACAGAGTGTATGTATTATTGGAAGGGGCTCATGGTCCATGTTGGTACCAATGACAAAGTAAAAGGAAGATGGAAGGTCCTAAAGAATGATTTCAGGGAATTATGTAGCAAACTTAAGAAAAGAACCTCCAAGGTGGTATTCTCTGAGATATTACCTGTGCCACACGCTACAGTGGAAGGCTGCAGGAGATTAGAGAGGTCAAGGCATGGCTGAAGTCTTGGTGCAGGAAGGAGGGCTTGGGGTTTTTAGAGCACTGGGCCAACTTTGCGCTTGGGTACAACCTTTATAGTAGTGATGGGTTGCACCTAAAGGGGAGAGGGTCTGCAGTGCTGGGGGATAGGATGGCTAGAAGGTTGGAGGAGATTTTAAACTAGTAGTGGGTGGGAGGGTCAGAGCAATCTACAAAATGGTGATAGGACAGAAAGGAGATGGGCTTTAGCTCAGTATAAGGGGGGTGGAGACAGGGGGAGGGGCAAGCTCAGAAAAGAGAAGGTATGTAATGTTGCTAATTCACAAAAAGTATAAGTGACTCGTGATATTAAATGTATGCTTACTAATGCAAGAAGCCTAAATAACAAAATGGGGGAACTCGAGGCAGTAGCATACACTAAACAATATGATATAATAGGCATAACTGAAACATGGTGGGATGAGACACATGACTGGACAGTTACCTTAAATGGGTACATGTTATTTAGGAAGGATAGGAAAAACAAGCAAGTGGAATGTGATGAGGAAAATGTGGAAGCTTTATGGGTAAATATCTGCTTGGGGAAAAGAAGAGAAATCAACTATTGGTTGTGATATGTTATAAACCACCTAATGTTAATATTGACGAGTAGTGATGCACCGAACGGTTTGCTGACGAACAGTTCCTGGCGAACATAGCGTGTTCGCGTCCGCCGCGGACGGCGAACGCATGCGCGGTTCGATCCGCCCCCTATTCGTCATCATTGAGTAAACTTTGACCCTGTAGCTCACAGTCAGCAGACACATTCCAGCCAATTAGCAGCACACCCTCCCTAGCAGACCCTCCCACCTACTGGAAGGCATCCATTTCACATTCATTCTCAAGCTGCATGCTTAGTGAGAGGAGGGAAAGTGTAGCTGCTGTTGATTAGATAGGGAAATGCATAGCTAGGTTAGGGTTAGGGTATGCTTTTTTTTTCTGTGTAATGTAATTGCAGTTAGTTGTCTGCCACTGCTGCGAGCTTCTGTGTCAGGCTCACAGTGGATACTGTGCCCATTTGCCCAGTCAGTGCCACCACTCATATCTGGTGTCACAATAGCTTGCATTTAAAAACAAAAAACTTTTTTCACTGTT